TGTTGTTATTCTCTACTTCCCCGTGACTTTTAAATATTCAGTAATTTGTAACTGCAATGCTGTATCCACAGGACCAAAAACACAAGATACAGAATCCAATCAGATGCCATTAAAATCTGTGTTCCAGTTATCAGGAAGGACATCAAAAGACCACAAATCTAATCAGGTGAGAAAGGTGGAGGACAAGATAACAGAATTACATAAAGATGCAAAGCATCTGATGGAATGGCATGATATAAAGCATCCTTACAGCCAGAGAGCTGAAGAAATGTAAAGAGAAGGAAATACAAAAGCCAAGCAAGCCATTGAAATGCAAGGTACTCAATATCAACCACCATCAGGGAAATGAAAGTCAAATCACAGAATAGCTTTTCCTATCTAACAGGATACCTAGAATGAATGAATGAATGAATGAATGAATGAATGAAACAAAGAAGAAAAAGAAAAGAAAGAGAGAGAGAGAAAGAAAGAAAAGAAGAAAAGAAAGAAAAGAAAAAAAAAGAAAAGAAAAGAAAAAAGAAAAAAGTTAAGTTGGTGCAGATGTGGTGGGAATGTAAAATCATGTAGCCAGTTTGGAAAAGTCTGACAATTCTGCAAATGGCTAATCATAGAATTGCCATATGACTTATCAATCCTACTCCTAGTTATTTACCCCAAAGAACTGAAAGATATATCCACACAAAAACTTGTACGTGAATGTTGACAGCAGCATTATTCATAATAGCAGAAAAGTGAAAACCAAATATCCATTAACTGTTGAATGGATAAATTAAACATGGTATATCCATATAATGGAATATTACTCAGTTGTAAAAAGAAATGAAGTACCGATATACACTACAGCACGGATGAACCTTGAAAATATGCTAAGTAAAATAAACCACTTGCAAAGGATCACATATTGTATGGTTAAATTTTGTGAAATGTTCAGAATAGCAAATTCACAGGCAGGAAGTAGGTTAATGGCTGCCAGAAAGATATGAAAATATATCAAAGAAGCTCAACAAACTGCAAAGCAATGAGATCCACAGCAAGACATATTATAACCAAATTAAAAGACCAAGAATTTTTTAGGCAGCAGGAGAGAAGTGACTCATCACATACAAGAAATCTACAGTAAGATTAATAGCCAGTTTCTCATCAGACCCATGGAGGCCATACCAAGCAGTAGAATGACACAAATAAATTGCTGAAAGAAAAAAGCTGTCAGCCAAGAATTTTGTATCTGATGAAAGTATCCTTAAAAAATGAGGGAGAGGGCAGCCCCAGTGGCGCAGCGGTTTAGCGCCACCTGCAGCCCGGGGTGTGATCCTGGAGACCCAGCATCGAGTCCTTCATCAGGCTTCCTGCATGGAGCCTGCTTCTCCCTCTGCCTGTGTCTCTGCCTCTCTCTCTCTCTCTGAATAAATAAATAATATTTTTAAAAAATGAGGGAGAAATTTAGGACACCTGGGTGGCTCAGTCAGTGAAGCATCTGTCTTTAGCTTAGGTTATGATCTCGGGGCCCTGGGATTGAGTCCCACATCGGGCTCCCTGCTCAGTGAGGAGTTGGCTTTCCCCTCTCCCTCTGCCCCCACGCCCTGCTCATGCTCACATTCTCAATCTCTCTCCCCCAAATAAATAAATAAGATCTTTTTTAAAGTGAGGGAGAAATTAAAACATACCTAGCTAAACAAAAGCTGAGGGATTTTTGTTACTACTAGACCTGCCCTAAAAGAAATGTTAAAGGGAGCCCTTCAGGTTGAAAGGATGCCAGAGAAAACTCAAAGTTGTGTAAACAAATAAAGACAGTAAAGGTAACTATATGGGCAAATATAAAAGACAGTATTATTGTATCTTTGGTTTGTAACTCCATGTTTTATTGCCTCCATAATTCAAAAGACAAATGCACAGAGAAGAATTACAAATCTTCATTACCAGACACACATGAATAAAGATGTGATCAGTAACAACAAAAACATAAAGGGATGTGGGAGAGAGCGGTATGTATAGAAGCACCATTTTTGGATGCTATTGAAGTTAATTTGGTATCTATTCAAACAGAATTGTTATAATTTTTTTAAATATATTTTTTTAATTTTTATTTATTTATGATAGTCACAGAGAGAGAGAGAGAGGCAGAGACACAGGCAGAGGGAGAAGCAGGCTCCATGCAGGGAGCCCGACGTGGGACTCGATCCCAGGTCTCCAGGATCAGACCCTGGGCTGAAGGCAGGTGCTAAACCGCTGAGCCACCCGGACTGCCCCAGTTGTTATAAATTTAAGATGTTCAATATAATCCCCACAGTAACTATGAAGAACGAATCTAAATTATCTATACAAAGGAAATGGGAGTGGAATCAAAACAGTTCACTACAAAAAAAAAATCAACTAAACAAAAAAGAAGGCAGTGGAGGGGGGAATAAAACACAAAAAAAAGTATAAAACATACAGAAATCAAATAGTAAAATGGTAAAGAAAGTCTGCCCTCATCAGTAACTACTTTAAATGTAAGTGGATTAAATTCTCCAATCAAAAGGCAGATGCTGATGGAATGCACCAAAAAACAAACAAACAAAACAAATAGTAACCAAAAGAGAGTTGGGGTGGCTATACTAATGTGAAACAAACAAAAAAAATTTTAAGCCAAAATCTGTTACAAAGAACAAAAAAATAACATATATTGATCAAATAGTTTATAAAGAAGACATAATTTTAAACAGGTATGTACCAAACAACAGAGCCCCCCAAAATATGAAGCAAACATTGATAGAACTGGAGAATTAGTTCCACAAAATAGCTGGAGACACCAGTACACTATTTTCAGTAATGAATGGAACATATGGACAGATGATCATTAAGGAAATATAGAGGGCTTAAAACAATACTATACACCAAGCCCTACCAGACATCTACTCCACTCTATATCAGCAATATTCTCGAATGCACATGGGGTATTGTCCAGGACAGACCATACTTCAGCACAAAAAAGTTTAAATTAATTTAAAAAGACTGAGATGATACAAAGTATCTTCCCCAACCACAAGAGAAGAAGGAAAGAAACCAATAATAGAAGGAAATCTGAAAAACTCACATGCATGTAAAAATTAAACATGTTCTTAAATAAAACACAGGGAAATCAGAAAATACTCTGAAACAAAAGAAAACAAATACACAACATGTCACATGAGGAGCAGAAAAGGAGAACTCCAAGGGAAATTTATAGATTAAAAAAAGAGAAAAGCTCTCAAATCGATAAAACTAATTTTACACACTGGATTTCGAAAAAGAAAAAGAGCAAATGAAACCTAAAGCTAGAACGATATGAATACTGAAAATTAAAGCAAACATAAATGAAATAAAAGAAAAATAAGAGAAGAAAGCAAAAACTGATTCTTTGGGGGAAAAAAAACAGATCAACAAAACTGACAACACTTTAGCTAAACTGACCAAGAGAAAAAGAGCAAAGATTCATAACTAAAATAAAAAATAACAGGGATGCCTAGGTGGCTCAGTGGTTAAGCATCTGCCTTCGGTTCAGGGCGTGATCCCAGGGTCCTGGGATCGAGTCCCACATCGGGCTCCCTACAGGGAGCCTGCTTCTTCCTCTGCCTGTGTCTTTGCCTCTCTTTGCCTCTCTCATGAATAAATAAATTAAATCTTAAAAAAAAATCCTCAACAAAATACTGACAAAACACACCCAGCTGCATATTAAAAGGATGGTAACACTGTGACCAAATGGGATTTATTCCAGGAATGCAAGCAATGATTAACACCAATCAATGTAATGCATCATATTAATAAAACGAAGAGGGGAAAAACAAATAGTGCTCATCTCAGTTAATGCAGAAAAAAAAAATCCAACACCATTTTAGGAACAAAAACACTCGACAAAATAGGAATAGAGGAAATTTTCTCAACCTGATGAAGGGTTTCTATGAAAATCCCACAGGTATCATATTGATGGTTAAAGGCTAAAAACTCTAACCCTGAAATCAGAAACAAGACAAAGATAACTCGCTTTTGCTACTTCTATTCAACATTGCACTGGAAGCTCCATCAGATCAATTAATCAAGAATAGGAAAGAAGTAAAATCCTCTCTATTCACACATAGCGTGATCCCACATGTAGAAACGCCCTAAGAACCTACAGGAAAGGCGCTAGGGCTACAGAAAATAGATGGAGGTACTGGGGGGCTTAAGCGAGGGAAAATGAGAGGAGTTTTTGCTTAATTGGTACAAAGTTTCTTTTGGGGGGGGCGATAAAAATGGTTTTGAAATAGATGGTGGTGACAGTTACACATCATGGATGTACTAAATGGTTAAGACAGCAAATTTTACATGATATTTTACACAATTTTAAAGATTAGAAAAAATCTATTTTACTAAATTTACAAATGCATGTTAAACTATTTAAAGGAATTTAGCTAACCTGTAAGTGGTACTGATTGTTTAAGAGAGTTCAATCTGTTCACCTGAGTTAAGACATTGATCTAACTTCACTTGTATTGCAAAGAACAATTAGGATTTTCTACCTGCAATTTTAATTAAGTATCAATTCTTATAACCCAACAGCTGCCAACAGTTCTGTATGACCAAAAGCTGCCTTCATGGACATAAAATTTTTTAAAAATCTGGGGATCCCTGGGTGGCGCAGCGGTTTGGCGCCTGCATTTGGCCCAGGGCGCGGTCCTGGAGACCCGGGATCGAATCCCACGTCGGGCTCCGGTGCATGGAGCCTGCTTCTCCCTCTGCCTGTGTCTCTGCCTCTCTCTCTCTCTCTCTCTCTCTGTATGACTATCGTAAATAAATAAATAAATAAATAAATAAATAATTAAAAAAAAATCTCATAGTGACCTATCACTTTTATATTTTCACTGATTTAAATATTTTCTATAATTTTCAAATTTTCCAAAAGATCTAAAAAACAAAACTCTCTTGGGGAAAAAAAATTCCCAAACCCAGAATTATATCCTTCTGAATAACAAATAACATAATGTAAGAAATGAAAGTCCTCGTACCTCCCCAGGTGTCAACATGGAGTTTTCTCCACCAGACGTACAGGAAAAGAAGAGCAGACAGGAGGAACTGGGAAGTGGTGTTTGCCCAGGCAGATCCTCTGAAGGAGAGAACGTGAGCATTCCCTGTGAGTGTATTCCATCCAAGTACAAAGAAACAGGCTACCCCTGACAAGCTTTGGTTCCATTAAAGAATCACAATCTTCAGAAAAGCCTAGAACCTGTGGGGTATTTTTTAATGATTTAAATGCAGTACCCACTTATGGCAGACTTGCTTTCTTTCCACCAACACTGAATTTTGTGGAAGAGCCCAATGTGACTATTCATCAACCAAAGAGACAAAAGAACATAAACATTTGTCACCATTTCTCTGCTCACAGCCTGAAATAACCCATCAGATAAATTCATACACATGATTAAACAGAGTATCAAAACACAGCTACCATGTTCAAAATACTGGCCTAAGGTTCATAGTTGTTTTATTTCCCAGGATTATAATAAATTTGTTTGCTATTATTACAAGGTAACCTTAAGAGCATCTTCAACAGATGACATTTTACACCACAAATAAAACGATCCTCCATCCTGGCACAGAGAGCCCGGAACTCTGCTTGCTTTCTACTTGTTCATTTCATTCTTCTGACCAATCCTCAAATTTTATCCTTATTAATCCATTATGGGTTCTCCTCTTACCCAACTACCCCCAAACTGTCCTTTGTAGATCTGTTCAAGAAACTTTTTTAAGATTTTTATTTATTTATTTAGTTCAAGGAACTTCTAAGAGAGGGTCTGCAAGGTGCACCTGCAGAGGAAACTCAGACCCCCACTCAGGTGTTTACATGGGTTGATGTCACCAGCCCGTAAACCTGCTGATTCTTACCTCCCCCACGGCCAAAGCCTCTTTCAGTTTTCTGGCATAAGGAAGACGTCACAAACCTTTTTTTCATTATCTTATATTCCACCTCTCCACTGTCATTCACTTAATGGCTTTTATATATATTTCCTACTGCAACTGATAGTAAGAAATAAATTTTCTATCGCCACCTGGTACACTATGTGTGCACACATTCATGCACACACACAACCAAAAGCCTCATAAAAAAACCCATACCTTCTCATATTTTCTATTCTATTTCATTTTATCTTATTCATAATATACTTCATTTTTTAAAGTGTCAATCATGACCCACTAAACCAGGCTTGGTCAACAAGCGCTGGTGTGACCATACCTGCCACGTGGGAGGGAGGTGGCTCTGGGCTGGCACATCAGAAGGTTCAAGTGAGGCATGGTCTGAGAGCATGGCACCTCCAGCAGGAGGTCCAAACTGACACTGCTTTCTATGTGGGATCCTCATATCCTCGAGCATCATAAAGATGGAAACGGCTCGATTTCTTACGACTCAGAGATAAGCAAGAGAATCCCTACAGTCCTCTGCCCCCTCCTGCCTCTGCTCCCGTCACCCATCTCAGTCTTCACAGGCTCCTCGGGCTAACTCCACGCCGACATGCAGGTGTCAGCTCATTCTCCTTCATCTCCTCCAACTGAGCCCCACAGGCCTCCCTTCCCACAGCCTGGGCGGGCTGCCCTTCCAGGTGCTCCAGAGCACCAGCACCATCCCTCCCCACCCCCACCCCATCATACTGAGCATCTCCCAGGAATCCCTCTCAGGCTGCTCCACTCCCCAGTCTCCCAGCCTCCGGGACTGGAGCCAGCACGCAGCAGACACTCAGTGCCTGTGGGTCACAACTTACACCACTCCGAGGTCCAGGGCATAGAGCAGGAGGGCATTCATGCCCACATTGATCACATTTGCTGCAATCCCAGTCATCACTTGCGGCATGATGATCCCCTAAAGCCCCCAGACAAATAAGAAAACAAATAGCATTTTCAAAAGTTAATCAATTAGGTGGTATGAAATAATGGAAAATACATGTACTGGTCTCTGCCCCCACCCCACTGCCAGTCTCCAGCACAGAGCTCGTAAATCCCTTGCAATATCCCTAGTGATAAGGGTACTAGGTGGCTCCTTTGTTCTAATATTGGTCTAATACTAATCTTGACATGAGTTCCTTAACCCTTTGGAATCTCTTGGGTGACAAGGGTGCCTTTTGTCCTCAGAGGTGACTCTGAGTGGGCTCCCAGATGGGAACTGGTCACCAGAAGAACCAAGCCATGATGAGAAGGTTGGTTTTTTCAGTCCATCTCTTGTGCCAGAAGGGGAGAGGGGCTAGGAACAGAGTACATGATCGATCCTGCCGACACAAGGAAGCCTCCATAAAAATCCCCAAAGCACAGGGTTCAGAGCTTCCAGGTTGGTGAACACGAGGACCTGCTGGGAAAAAGGCACCTCTTCCCACACACCTCACCCTCTGGGTGTTTGTCTGCATTCTCTGTCATATTCTTTTATAATAAACTGGTAAATCGTATGCAAACGTGCCCTAAGTTCTGTGAGTCGCTCTAAAAAATGAATGAACCCCTGAGGAGGGGTCGTGGAAACTTGTGATGTGCAGCCGATCAGTGGAACGGGGGCAACCTAGAGCCACAACCATCTGGAGGTAGGGAGGTCAGGATGGGGACCCAACCTCTGCCAAGGGGAGGTCCATGTAACTTCAGGCAAACAGTGCCTGAATCAAGCTGAGAGGAAGAGAGCCACATGGCATCCAAACACCCCCAAAAGCCCCAGTAGAAGGAGAACGTGTGAGAGCCACAGGACTCGAGGGAGGGAGAGGAAGTGTACAGAGGGTCATCTCCACACTCACAGTTACTCGGGCAGGGACATTTGTTTTCTTTTTTAAGACTTTATCTATTTATTTATGACACGGGGGGGGGGGGGGGGGGCGGGGCAGAGGGAGAAGCAGGCTCCATGCAAGGAGCCCAACGCGGGACTCGATCCCGGGTCTCCAGGATCACGCCCTGGGCCGAAGGCAGCGCTAAACTGCTGAGCCACCCAGGCTGCCCAGGCAGGGACTTTATTTTTTTTTTGTTTGTTTGTTTGTTTTGTTTTCCCGGCAGGGACTTTAAAGGACAGCATAGCCACAATGGGACCACACCGGCCAGGGTCCAAGCCACCAGGCCCGTCTCCTCCTTGGGCACTGCTGTGAGCGCAACCAACCAGAAGTCTGTTGATGCTTCTGAATGACCCGCTGGGCCACAGCTGGTATCACAGAGAGGAGAGAAGGAACTGCCTGGACAGCAAATCACTTCCCAGCAGGCAGCATCACGGGAAGACCACCTGGGAGACACCTGGGCCAAGTGACTTCAGTTCTCCACCGGGGCCGCGGGGAGGGCTCTTTGTGAGGTTCTCTCACACAGAACACCCGCAAGGCCTGGCCCCGGCAGGTGCATGCTGAGCGTTCACCTCCGTGTTTTACGATGCCACCGTTCCTTGCTTCTTTTGGGTCTGTGCCCTACTCCACACTAGTCCTCCGATAAACATTTTCTGTAGGACTCTCCATTTTTTTAAAAACCGAGCTGACCACCATCAAGAGAGAGGGGCTTCCATGGACAGAAGTCGCGGGAAGGCAAGCAGGTGGCTCACAGAAGAAGGACTTGGGGAGGTGGCAGGGTGAAGCGGAGCTCATCCTCAGCCTTCTCATCCATGTCCCTTCTCCTTCTGGGGTACCGGGCACCGGTGAACCCCGGGTACTTCTGGGGATGTGGGCGGAGGCACCCTGGGACCTCTTCCCCTCCAACAGAGGCACCAGAGCCAGGCCTGGGCCAGACGCAAAGCAAACAGGCAGCCCACAGAAGAGGTGAGGGGTGGAGTGTGTGGACTGTGGGGTAAAACAAGAGGTAGGCTCAGGAATCAGATTGAAACAGGCCCCTCTCCTGAGCTGGACGAAATCTATCTACAAGACTTCACGTCTCCCAAACAAGGAGCTCTGGGTAGGATTCCAGGGGGAAAAAATATGAATTACTTTTATGGGGAAACTCCCTAAGAATATTTACTCTATGTTTCCAGTACCATGGAGTAAAAACATAAAAAGAATCTGTACCTGACTTTGCAAATATCTCGTCTGCAGCTGGAACAGGAATGCTGCCTATAATATAAAACAGAACAATACCTCCTGTTATGATGAAAGTGTAATTCCAACGGTTTCTATCAGTTTGGTTTTTCAAGAAGATACTTCCTCTTGATGTGACCTCATAATTGGAGAACCGGAGCCACACTAATCAATGCTAGGATGCTGAGTGTTTGAAATTTTCCAGAAAGGACTCCCTGATGAACTGACAAGTCAACCTCTAACTGGCTGATGCTGAAACCGCTTACGACCTTGACATCTGAATGGCTCCAACTGAGGGTGCCAGCTGGGGATATGTCCCCAAATCCCAGGGGAGCCCCTGGGAAACATCCTGATTAATTGGCAATTGAAAGTAAACCATGACATAAGGAAGGATCGTTCTTCCTCTGACCAGTGTGTGTATTTCATTTAAGCTGCCAAACCTCAAAGTGGTACAAGCTCTGAGAATCAGTAAGGGAGGGATGGCAGGTCCCAGAGATACATGCTGAACACAGAGAGGAATAGCACTGTGATAAATGAGTGGGGAGGCGCACGCATGACCACGTTCATGAGCTGTTTCACATAACACAATGCAAAGTATCCTTGACACTTACAGGAAGAGCGGGAATAAAAATCATCACGTAAATCTGGGCTATCCTGAAATAAATACAAACAGCCTTTGGTTAATATTCCAATAATTGATGGTCATGCTTCCTCACATTGAATCCATACATTTTCTTCTAATAAACTAAAGCTAAACATAACTTATGTGGGGATATTTAATAACATTTCTAAGAGGCTTTATCTAACAACCCAAATTAACACTATATCGGCCCTGCTGAGTGTCCGCTTTCTTTCTTTTTTTTTTTTTTTGAGTGTCCTCTTTCTAAAGGGGAGTTGGACTTTACATCTCTTAGCTCATTCTTAGCAGAAGCAGTGGAATGAACACAGCAAAATGAACTAAAATGTGGGTGAGAATCAGAAACATTTTAGGGTGAGGACCATAAATGTATCTCACATGGAAGCAAGAAGAACAGTCTTCTCGAAAGGAGAGACGCCTCCTTGCATCCTGCGTACCCTGCAAACAATCCCAGAGAGTTTGCTGGAATTGTAGAGTTAAAAAAACAAAAACAAAAAACACAAAAAAACCAACTGTGAAAACGTGAAGGCAAGTATGTTGCTATTCTGCTTCCAGGGAGAAATACTCTGTGCATTTGCAAAACACCAGAACTGAACAACCCAGGAAAAGGCAGACCCAGGCCAAGGGTATTACCTTCTCGTTCTGTGTTTTTGCTCTGGGTAGGGCATCGGGTCACCAAGTTACACGGTGTCCCTGTGTGTCAGAGGGTCCCTGCCCTATATCCTGTGATCCACAAGTCCCAGCTCTCATTCGCCACGGGGCTCAAGTCCAGGTAACTGGCTGAGAATGTCAACACAAACACAGGTAGGAGGACCAGACGGTCCCTTACTATGGACCTGGGGTTCTGACAGACACTGCTGACCTGGAGACTTCGGGGTCCTGTTTCAAGAGCAAGAGGATACGCTCCGTGTTGATGAAGATGGCCCAGCACGGAAAGCAACACAGCATCAGGATGAGGATTCCTCTTTGCAGTATGATCCCCACGCGCTTCAGGTTCTTGCCTCCAAAGGACTTGAGATAGAAACATACAGTGAGGAAGAATGCCCCCTCGTGCTGGGCAGGCCGAGGCCGGGGCCCCTGCCCTCCAAACAGCTCCCCACAGGCCAGCGCCCCGCCTGCCACCCCTGCAGCCGGGCGGCCGCGTCTCCCACACCCCAGCGTCAGGGCCAAGCTGTCGGGGAGCTACTGGCACCCGTGGCATTTTGAACATGCCCTGGGATGATGAGGGCCCTGCTCCCGGGAAGAGGGACAGTTAGAAACGAGGGCACTGGTAGCAGAGAGCAGAGCTTAAATGGGGCAGGAAGAACTGGGCCCAGGTTAGGGCCTAGAAGATTCGTTCATAAAACATGTCCTGAATTCCTCCTGCATGCCAGATGCATTCGGGACCCAGGATCTAACTCTGCAGTGAACAGAGCGGTCAGAGACCCTGGGGTCATGGAGCGGACTTTCTGGAAGGAAAAGGAGACAGACAGTGAACAGAGAAATACCTAAGATCCAGAGTGCTTTCCCTAGGACGTGGCAGTGATGTTTGGGGAAAAATAAAGCAGGGTGACAGGGGGAGTGTTGAGGGCCAGCACAGTCTTCACACTAGTGACAGGCGGCCTTTCTGGGAAGGTGATGTCAGCAGCTGATGGAATAAGCCAGGCAGACATCTGGGAGAAGCAGGGCGGGGTGGCACTGGGTGGGGCACAGCTGCAGGCCCAGCAGCCTCCGCAGGGGCATGGGGTCACCGGACAGTTCCCAGCAGAGACACGACATAACCAGCTGAAGTTTTAGAGTGACGAGGGCACAGAAGCCAGAAGTGAGCAGCCTCTGGGTGGCCAGAGCACGGAGCAGAGAGCGGGCTGGGGTGGGGACACAGGCCAGGCCCAGACAGAAGCAGCCCCGATGGAGGCAGAGGGGCCCTGTGCCCCACAGTGCCTTTGGCCAAGTCCAGGCTTCTCGGGAGCTCTGCCCACACTCCCTTTCCTCCAAGGAACCTGAATTGCTATCTCCTTCTACCACCAAAAAGGGGCCTAATTTAAACCACAGAACAAGAGTCAGTAGAAACAACAAATTAAATAAAAAGAATGGCAATATAAATGACAGAGAATATTGTACAACTATCAAACGGAATGTGTATATCTACTTCTTTTCATGCATTTTCCAAAACATATGGTTTATTGGGAGGAAAATGTAATAAAATCAAGTAGGTTTTAGAGTGGTGTGGGTGTACAGAGATGGAAACATCTGGAGGATACTGACCAAAAAGTTAATAGAGATAACTCCGAAGGATTAAATATTAGTGATTTTTTTCCCCATCCTTTTCAAATACTTTTCCAGGTGACCTGCAGTTTCTAGATGTGCTTGATCTTTACAATCTTTTTATTTTACTTTTTAATAATTTTTTGCACAATCTTTTCATTTATTTCTTTTTTAAAGATTTTATTTATTCATGAGAGAGAGAGAGAGACAGAGACATAGGCAGAGGTTCTCAAGAAGCAGGCATAGGGACACAGGGAGCCTGATACGGGACTCAATCTCAGGACCCCAGGATCACGACCTGAGCCGAAGGGAGACGCTTAACCGCTGAGCCACCCAGGCATCCCCTACATTAAGTCCTTTAGAGCCATATTTAGCTTAGCCTTTAAAAACTATCTCAGGATATCTTCATGCACAAACTGCTGGGGAGCGGAGTACAATGGCTCAGGAGACACCACCTATGCTCAGTGCTCCTCTTTCCTTAGGACAGAACCCTGTCCTCTCTGTTCCAGGCAGTGGGTTTGAAGGCAGGGCTCATCTATCACACATCCACCCACCATCCGTGCATCACCCATCTATTTAACCATTCACCACCATCTACCCAACCATCTATCCACTTATCATCTATCTACCCAATCATCCACCCAACCATCTATCCATCTGTCTATCCCTCTACTCATCCATGTAGCCATCCATCATCCATCATCCATCTATCCAACCATCTATCCACCCATCTACCCATTTCTGCTTGCTTCTCTGCCTTCATCTCACTCATTCAACAAACTTCCAGGGTACCCACTACATAACAAGCACAATGCTGAACCATAGGGATTCAAAGACTGAATGGGATAAAGCCTTTCTCCCCAAGCATCTCAGATCCTAGTAGGGAAACTGCTATGGCTGTAAAGTGAGTGAGATGGAAGACAGCACCAGGAATGAAAGGCCTGGACCAGAATCTGACTCTCCACCGATTATGCTAGCACACCAAACCGGAGTTCCCAATCCCACAAAAAGCAATGAGGATAGAGACAAATAAGCAGATTGTCTGCCATATGAAGATGGGAGATATAGGATTCAGACTTGAGCAGAAGGTGGTATATTCTTGTAAGAGACAATCCTAGAGGAAAAATAGTTCAGGTGGGAAAACCTGATGAGTTTAGTCTGGTCAAGCTGAGGCTGAGATGTCATGACGGACATTCAAGCCTGGCCCTCAGGAGACATGTGGGCAGGCAATGGAGATGTGAGTCTTAAACATCAGGTGAGGGTGTACAGTTTTACAGTAGGAGAGATCACAACAGGGAAGAAAATGGAAAACCCAGCCCCACCTGAGCACATGGACCCTGAGGACACAATTAGGAAAGCTGGCTGTGCTTGCATCTACAGCCACCAGCAGCATGGTATTTGACAAATAAAAGGCAACAGAAGCCATAAAGGGGATGGTCTCTTCTATCATCTCCCACAAGATAGGTAACCGACCAAAACAGGTGTGTGGGGGAGGGTGATTGGTGCTCACCTGAGACATCAGTGTATCACAAGCGGAGGCCAAGCCAGTTCCAACGGAAATCCCAGTAACGTTTACAACCTGCAAGGAACAGCACAGAGCTTCACCCAGCATCCGGGGGACTAGGGGGGGCAGAGTCACTGCTAACAGCTCCCTCTCGAAGGAGTAACCCATGATTTTATTTCACGTCACACAGGTGACTGCTACTGTAAACAAAAATATAGCCTCTAAGAATCACAATCACTTTGCAGCAACCAGAGTGGCTTACAACCAAGTTTTTCTCAACACAATGCACGTTACAATGTCTATATTAAAAGGCTGAATTATGATTAATATCTAAAACCAATGCCCCTGGGGGGCAATGCCCCTGGGTGGCTCACAGTCCATTAACCATCTGACTCCTCACTTTAGCTTGGGTTGTGATCTTAGCATCCTGGGATCAAGCACGGAATCAGGCTCTGTGCTCAGCTGGGAGTGTGATTTGGGATTCTCTCTCTCCCTCTGCCCCTGCCTCCCTCCCCTGCTCACATACTACTCTCTAAAATAAATAGAATCTTCCAGTAAATAAACTTAATTACTTAATTAAATACGTGAATGAATGAATGGATGAATGCCCCTGGTCTGCGATGTGCATTTAATAATAATGACAGCAAACCCATTCTGAGCAAATGCTACATGCAGGTCCTGTCCCAAGCCCCTGTCAGGGCTGTCATGAGCACTATTCCCATTTTATGGAACACTTGAGCAAGTCACAGAAAGCTTCGGTCATTCGGATGGTGGCCTGAAGCTGGCAAGTCTGGCCTCAGGCTTTAACCCTCCCGTGAGAAACAGGGACTAGTTCTGTGTCACCCTCTCGCCTTAACCTCACCCCGGGCCCCTGACCATTAAGGGCACAGACAGTAACCTAAAGGTAAGGGTCAGAGCCCAATGTGCTATTTTGCAATGGCAAGGGTTGGGGAGAACTGGAGACCCTATTTTCATCCCTGGTCTCACATTTAGCAGTGAGGTCAACCCCAGGTGAGTTAACTTATTGGCTGACCAACGTCACAGACTCTAGCCCCTGGGAGTCAGTGACAGGCCACACACAGAGTAAGGCCCCAGGCCAGTCTAGCGAGCAGCAGGAGGCACCCCTGCCAGAGGCCTTGTGCTCTGCATGCCCAGTCCAGTGTCAGGGCTAAAACTCAGCCTTCCAGAAAAAGCACAGGGGAAACACAGCTATTACTCTGCCTCTACAGCTTCAAGCCTATCCCCAGGTCAAGTCCATTGTCAGAGCTGATTCCCGTCAAGGGCGGGCATCTAACACTGAGCTCTGATGTCACCCTCTCCCCATACAATGACCGCATGGAAACTCAGAGGGTCCAAGACTCACAACCGTATTTCTTGGGGCAAGTTGTCCAGAACACTATCTTCCACATCAGAGTGTCTATTTCACCAAAGGCTGCAAGAAACACTCCTCTGACTAGTTATCAGGAAAGGCCCTCCTTCCCCGCAAGTAGCTGGCTCAGTAACCTCTTGGGCGTGCTGGGAATTTCTGGAAACTACCAGGGCAGGGAGCTCAGAGTGCAATTTGTAGCTTCTCCAATCCTAACCACTCCCAGCTGAATATTTTTCTATCCATGTTTCTCTAACCCTATTCTACCAGCTAAGTGTTTATCTTTCTGTCTTGAAAGTATTTTTATAAACTGACTCAAATTCTTCATGAAACAAGGTGGGATATGAATAAATGTTCTTGGGGAGTGCCTGGCTGGCTCAGCCAGTGGAGCACATCACTCTTGGTCTCGGGGTCGTGAGTTTGAGGCCCACATGGGTAGGAGGGATTACGTTAAAAAAATTAAATCTTTTTTAAAAATGCTCTTTTATTTAAAATACAAACACTTTGGGGCGCCTGGATGGCTCAGTCAGCTACCTGCTTTCAGCTCAAGTCATGATCCTGGGGTCCTGGGATCCAGCCCCAGGTCCAGGTCGGGGCTCCCTCTCAGCGGGGAGCCTGCTTCTCTCTTGCCCCTCTTGAGCCCCTCTTGCTCATTCTTCCTCTTTCTGCAAAAATCTTTTTTTAAATCTTTAAAAAATATAAGAAACAAACACTTTTGTAAATTCTTTCATTCCACAAACAGAATTTTTCCTAAGGCAAAAGATTTTTAAATATATCTAGCTTTCATAAATAGTTTTGATATTGGGCCTATTGTCTTCTCAGCAATTAATTACAATTTAATAGCTGGTTAAAAGCATAGTCTAACCAACTACTCACTGCTCCAGGAAGGACAGGCACAGACCTTACCTCAGATTTTAGCTACAAAAGTTCTTCTCTTTGGAATATACCAACCTTCCCACACTCCCTTTTGAGGTATAACGACAGAATTTTAAAATTCTATTTACTCTGTACCTATTAATTTTTTCTTCAAAGCATGGAAATAGGGATGCCTGGGTGGGTCAGCAGTTGAGTGTCTGCCTTCTGCTCAGGGCGTGATCCTGGAGTCCCAGGATCAAGTCCCACATCGGGCTCCCTGCATGGAGCCTGCTTCTCCCTCTACCTATGTCTCTCATGAACAAATCAATAAAATCTTAAAAAAAAAAAAACACAAAACGGTTCTTATGCTCTTACCATTGGGTGATCTGGGATGGAAGAGTATAAAGGAGCAGCGCTGGAAGGGAGATCATCGGGAGGTGCCCAGGTGAGGCCCCGCTCACGGTTCCCCCAAGCTACATATTTCTCTGAAACATTCACTTGGGCCAGATCTGTGCCAGCAGCCAGGCTCAGCAAAATTTAACATCAGCAGGAGGGCACACAGAGCAGAGGATGTGGCACAGCAGGGAAAGGATAGGCCCTGCTGGGGCTTTTGGGAAGGCTTTTTGCAGATGCCCCTAAGCCACGTCTAGAAGGATATGCCCCAGGCTCATGTGCAAGCCACAAAATGCAGTGGGCACCACCCACAGGCAGGACACCCAAGGCCTGGATTTCACTGTCTGGTGAAGGGAGCACTGAAGGGTATTAACCCAGGGAATGGCTTGATTTTTTTTTTTTTTTTTTTTTTTAAGATTTTACTTGTTTATTCATGAAAGACACAGAGAGAGGCAGAGACCGTCAGAGAAGCAGGCTCCTTGCAGGTAGCCTGATGTGGGACTTGATCCCTGTACTGGGATCACACCCTGAGCCAAAGGCAGATGCTCAATCACTGAGCCACCCAGGTGTCCTGATTTTTATTATTATTATTTTTTTAATGGCTGGGACTCAAGGAAGGTGAGATGGAGTAAGGCCTAGAGGAGGTGGCCCAGGCTGGCAGGAAAGTAGGGTGAAAGCTGGGCTAGGAGACTAGTGGCAGGAAACAGAAGAAAAGAAGTAATTTTAAGAAAGGTGGGAAATGAAGTTATTAGCAGGGCTTGCAGCCCGATGGAGATGTAGGGTGTAAAGACAGAGGGGAGTGCCGAGGGTACTCCCAGGAAGGATGCTCACACATCCTGAGTGTGAGGTGTTCCTGGAGGGTTCAAGCCGGTAAGTCCTGAGGCGGGCAAACCCAGGAGGGCACCTCGGTGGAAGATGGAGACATAAATTTGAGAGGCACCGAGGAAGAGGAGGAGAAGGGGAAGGGAAAGATGTACAACAGCTAGAGGTAGCAGAAGGAGCAGTGGAAGCACAAGGACACCGGGTCCCCCGGGAGGCCAGGAGTGGCAGAGAGGCCAGAGGGGGATGTCACCGACAGCATTAGCCAGATCAGGTTCGATGGCGAGATAGAGAGACACAGGCCAGCTTGCAATGGGGGGAAGAGGACATGAAGACATAGACTTTCTGGCAAAGACCATAAGCGGCCGGACAGGGGGCTGGGCAGGGACGGGCAGATGGGAGATGTTACAGAAAAGGAGAGACTTGCGTTGCATAGGTTTATCATAGTGGCCGAGGGATCAATTAAATAGAAGAAATGGGGGACGTCTGGGTGGCTCAGTGGTTGAGTGTCTGCCTTTGGCTCAGGGCATGATCCTAGGGTCCTGGAATCGAGTACTGCATCCCTGCAAGGAGCCTGCTTCTCCCTCTGCCTATGTCTCTGCCTCTTTCTCTATGTCTCTTATGAATAAATAAGAATCTTTAAAAAAAGAAGGAGGAGGAGGAGGAGAGGGAGAAGGAGAAGAAGAAGGAGAAGAAAGGAGAAGGAGAAAGAAGAAGAAGAAAGAAGAAAGAAAGAAAGAAAGAAAGAAAGAAAGAAGAAGAAGAAGAAGAAGAAGAAGAAGAAGAAGAAGAAGAAGAAGAAGAAGAAGAAGAAGAAATGGAAAGAATGGTTCTGAAACATAGGCAGAAGGCTTGGTCTTGACGAGGGGAGTTAACAGAGGTCTGGTGTTGATGGGCAGACGAGGGAACGTCAGGCACGGACCACCTGGCTCACAATCCTGAGAGTGGGGCCCAACAGGGCTGCAGAGGGAGAGAAGAAGGGGGAACCACAGCATGGGAAGACCCCATGAGGTCAGACAACAGGTAGGAGGTGCGGGAACTCAACAGGACAAGGATAAAAGGTTGCCAGCAGGGAAAATAAAGTTTAAAACATCTACAATGAGTCCATGCTGAGGGATGAAAATGTGTGGAGCATGAGTCCTGAAATGGATTGGGTGGAGGGGAGGGTGGTCCTGGAAGCCAGTGAGATGGAGGAAAGTGGGGCCCACACACCCAAAAAGATTAGCACTCAGGTGCTGGGGTGTTGATGAGCACAGGAGAGGTGCTGTACTGGCCACTAGCTATCATTGACAGGGGAAAAAAGTACAGGATGGCATACATGGAGTCCATCCCTCCAAAGTGGGCACGGCGAAAAGACAGTCTATTCAATAAAGAGTGTTGGGAAGGGGATCCCTGGGTGGCTCGGCGGTTTGGCGCCTGCCTTTGGCCCAGGGTGCGATCCCGGGGTCCCGGGATCGAGTCCCGCATCGGGCTCCCTGCGTGGGGCTGGCTTCTCCCTCTGCCTGTGTCTCTGCCTCTCTCTCTCTCTCTCTATGTCTATCATGAATGAATAAATAAAATCTTAAAAAAAAGAGTGTTGGGAAAATTGGACAGCTACAGGTCAAAGAATGGGACTGGACCTCTTTCTTTCTTCTTTTCTTCCCTTCTTTCGATTTTATGTATTCATTCATGACACACAAAGAGAGAGAGAGGCAGAGACACAGGGAGCAGGAGAAGCAGGCTCCCTGTGGGGCACCCGATACAGAACTTGACCCCAGGACCCCAGGATCACACCCTGAGCCTAAGGCAGATGCTCAACCCTGAGCGACCCTGGGAAATGCAAATTAAAACCACAATGAACTATCACCGCACACCTGCGAAGAGACAGAAAATAAAAAGTGTTAGAGAAGATGGGATATCCTCAGGCACCATTGGAGGGGATGCAAACTGGCACACAGCCACTCTGGAAAGTGGTATGGATGAGCCTCAAAAACTTAAAAAGAGAACTACCATATCATCCCACAATCTTACTTCTGGGTATTTAACCAAAGAAAACAAAAACAGTAAGTCAAAAAGATACCTATACCACCATGATCACTGCAGCATTATTCATAAGCCAAGATATGGAAACAACCTAATGTCCACTGAAGGATACAAGAATAAAGAAAACATGGTGCATGCATACACTGTGGAATATTATTCAACCATAAAAAATAAAGAAATCTTGCAATTTGTAACAACATGGATGGGCAATGAGAGCATTATGCTAAGTGAAATAAGTCCATCACAGACAAATGCCCTATAATCTCACTCACACGTGGTATCTAAACTGAGAAAAACTGAACTGATACGTACAGAGAGCAGACTGGTGATTCCGAGACTGGGAGGGTGCCAAGGAGCTAGATAAGGCAGTCAAAAGGTACAAAGCTAGTTCCAGTTACAAAATATATAAAGGATGGGATACAATGGACAGCCTGGTGACTATACTTAATATTACTCTATTGCACTGCATATTTGAAAGTTGCTAAGAGACTAACTCTTGGATTTCATCACGTGGAAAAAAATCTTTTCTGTATAGGGACAGAACTAAATTTATTATAGTGATTATGCCACAATACGCACAAATATCATCGTTACATTATATACTTGTATTTCAATTATATCTCAGTAAAAAAAATTAATATTAACAATTTTTAAGAAAGGATGGTGGGAAAGAAAGGTCTGGGAAAGAAAGCTGTGATAAGAAAAAGTAGACCACCAACTGCGGGCCCTGTGGAGAAAGAGAGAAAAAGTGTCCTTTAAGTTTCCAATAATAACTCACTGTTAATATCTGTTCCCAGCCAACAGAAGGACCAGGAGGACAAGGTGTGCCCCCTGCGGGGGAGGGGTCAAGTTCATCCTCTCCAGGGGACACAGTTAACAGCCTGTAATATAAAAAGCTTTTCTGCTTTTTTGACTTTCTAGAGGCCGCAACTAAACTTTCAAAGGAAGCAGAAATATCCCTAAACCAGTTCGCTTAACAGACCTGTAAATAAAACGTCTGATTCCACACCAAGGTCAGCCCAACTGTAAAGCTGAAAGGAGAAACTTCTGTGGTCCCACCAGGATCTTAGGGCATATTCCCACCTCCTGTGGGGACGGAGGGGACATCCTCTAAGACTGGGAGAGACCACCTTGCCGTCACCACTGGAAGAGTTTTCCACCTTCTCTGAATGCCTGGGTGAAATGCAAGAGTGAGGCAACTTTCCACCACCTCACAAACATAAACAAAAGACTTCAAAGTCCTTGTAATTTCAACCCATGGCCCAAGGGAGATAGTTTATTAAGAGTGTGAAACCGAAAAGAAAAAAAAAAAAAACCCGCAGTGTGAAACCCTGGAGCATCCTGGGTGGCTCAGCTGTTGAGTGTCTGCCTTCCGCCCAGGGCTGATCCCTGGGTCCTGGGATGGAGTCCCACATAGGGCTCCCCGCAGGGAGCCTGCTTCTCTTTCTGTCTGTGCCTCTGCCCCTCTTTCATTAATAAATAAAATCTTTTTTTTTAAAGTGTGTGAAACACTACACCCATAATGAACTATATAATTCCAACTAAAAGCAGACAACCTACATTACCTTTAAGATTTTTTTTTAAGATTTTTTATTTATTTATTCATGGGAGACACAGAGAGAGAGAGAGGCAGAGACACAGGCAGAGGGAGAAGCAGGCTCCCTGCAGGGAACCCGGTGCGGGACTGGATCGCAGACCGGGATCACGCCCTGAGCCAAAGGCAGACGCTCAGCCGTTCAGCCGCCCAGGCGTCCCTACGTTTAAGCTCTTCGTGGGATCTTAGAACAGGGCGGGAAATGCAGGGTCCGATCGCTTCACCAGCACAAATTTCTATCTTGCTATACATTCCCTGCGCCCCTGGGCCGCTCGGTAATTCAAGCTCGGCCCCCACCGGACGGTTGCAGAGACGGAAACACTCCTCCCTAGGCGGCCCACACAGTCTCCCCCCAAATCTAAAGACAAAGCAAAGGTACACCCCTGGGCCAAAGTCCGACTCCTCGAGGGAAGAGACACGACCCAGGAGACGGTGCAAATCCCGCGTCGACCCCAGAGACAAGATTCAAAAAACGTGACACCTACCGACACGGCGAGCGTAACGGCATCCAGCTCCACTTTGCCCAGGTGCCCGCAGAAGATGGAACTGACGACGCCAATGAGGAAGATCATCAGCTGCGCCAGGAACTGCGGAGGGAGAGCGGGAGAGCGCGAGCTGACCCCCAGCCGCCCGCCGGGGAGGCTCCGGGAGCGCAGGGGCGCGGGGGGCCGTCGGGGGGCCGGCGGGGGGCGCGGGGGGCGCGGGGCCGCGCACTCACCACGGGGCCCGCGAGCGCCCCCAGCGCAGCCGCCTCGCGTCGCACGTCGGGCGGCAGCGCGCCCCGCAGGCCCCGCAGGCAGCCGCGCCAGCCGGGGGCGTCGGGCTGCTGGGTGCTGTCCGGGGCGGCGGGGGCGGCGGGAGAGGCGGGGGCGGCGGCGGGGGCCTCCATGCCTAAGCGGGCTCTGAGCGCCGGAGGCGGCGGTGGGCTGGGGGCGGCCCGGGCCCGCCCCGCCCCGCGCGGACGCGGCAGGGGGTGGGGATGCGGACCGCCCCACCTGCGGCCGGGGGCGGGGGCGGGGGTGGGGGTGCGGACCGCCCCACCTGCGGCCGGGGGCGGGGGTGGGGGTGGGGGTGCGGACCGCCCCACCTGCGGCCGGGGGCGGGGGTGGGGATGTGGGGGTGGGGAAGCAGGCGGGTCGCGCCTGCGGACCCAGGACGCCCCCTGCCAACATCGCCGTCCGCAGATCCCCAGGAGTTGGGGGCGGGGCGCGGAACCCCCGAGGAGGTGGTAGGTGAGGGGTCGCAGTCCGGCGGGGGCGGGGGGTACCGGACGCGGTCGAGGGAGTGGGAGGTCGCCCTGCGATGACAAAGGAGACTAGTCGTTAGAGTGAACTGTGCTGGGGGCGGGGGGAGTGGAGAGGGCGAATTCGTAATTCCACCCTCCGCACCTCCGGAGCACTTTGCTGGCTTTTCAGGTGACCTCTTCCTCTGCCTCGAGTTACAGGTGTTACAGAAAGTATTCCCGGGGCTGGCGGAGGGTGGTGGGGTGGTGCACTCCTTGGCCAGCAGTTTGGGCCCAGAGATAAGCCCTCCGCATCCCCATCCCCCATCCCCCACCCGGATGCCCGGGCCTCCGGATGAAAAAGGGCAGATAGGCTTAGAAGTCTCTAGAAGGCTAGGGTACCTGTCCGGGACAGAACGAAGAGAATGTGTGTGGACTTCCTAACAGCTGGGAGAGGGGATGTTGCTGGGGCCCAACCCAACCTTCAGGGCAGGCCTTTACCACGGTCCCTGCAAAATGACCCTCCAAGAAGCAGGCACTGAGGGTGGAAATGCCTGAAGGTGGCCTTGGGTGTTTTTTCACACGTGTTAGCTAACTCTTCTGACCTGGTCCATTATCTGTTCTCTCAGGGCAAAAGCCACGCCTAGCTTTGTAGCTTTGTGCCATCCAAGCACCCAGTGTACTTCACACTGAGGCTTGCCGAGTTAACGGTGTGGCCCTGGGGCGTGGGCAGAGGGGGTGGGGGGAGGAGGGAGGCTGAGTCCAAGTACTATACTACTTTGTTGCTACTTAATCCAAGGCCACTATACTGAAGTCTTGTGCTCTGACCCCCCACCCCCCACCCAAAATGAATTAACAATGGCTGTTTGGGCTTTCACAGCTCTAGAAAGTTCCCTAACTGTTCTTCGAGGCCAGGGGAGAAGGAAGCATTCATCAAAACCTCATCCTTTTGAGACACAACCACACAAAACCTCCTGAAAACACATGTTTGCCACCTAAAGCTGGGATGCCTTCTTAAAGACAAAGACGATACCCCTTCTGTTTGGACAGAAAATGAACGGGGCCAGCTAGGACCCCAGCTTCCCTCTTCTAGCCCCCCCTTGTCAATTCCTCTGCCTTCCAACTTTGTAACGACCTCCTTCTATCAGCAGAGGAAAAGGGCTAGGGCACCCGGTGGCTCAGTGGTTGAGTGTCTGCCTTTGGCTCAGGTCATGATCCAAGGGTGTTGGGATCAAGTCCCACATCAGGTTCACCGCAGGGAGCCTGCTTCTCCCTCTGCCTCTGCTTTTCTCGGTTTTTCTCATGAATAGATAGATTTTTTTTTTTTTCTAAAAAAGTATAGGAAAGGGTCTGACTTCCTTTTCCTGGGTTAGCTCTTCAAACCATTTACTCCTCTCTGTGGGATGCCCACCACTCTAGAAAAATGAAGTGCTGGTTCTCAGCAAGGCGCACAGCTTCCTCTCTCGTCTGACAATCCATGGCACCCTCAACAGATTAAGACAGGTCCTTAACAGGAAGCATGCTCCTCAATGCCATCCGACTCCTTTTGCCTAACCTAAGTCTTCTCCCTTTTGGTTTCTCAAGCCCCTCTACTGCCCACAGTGCCTGCAATTTGGAACCCAAATGAATGTTGACAAATGCCATTTGCCCACTGAATAATCATCAAAGGCACAAGGAAAAGATATATTGCAAAATATATTTTAAATAACTCAAAATCCTTAAGCACTGAATACATGGGTTTCTATCTAAACAGTAAACACAACTAGCAAAACCATAGGTGAATGCAACCAGTACACAATGGTCCTTGGTTGAGACAATGCTGGATGAGCTGAATGATCATCCCTCTTTCAGACACTGCCTTGGACAAGAACATAATTTGTACCTAAGTTTCTTCATTAGAAAACATAACTTTGAATTCAATTCTTGAAATCCACAGGTGCCATTTAACTGCCTTAACTGAAAAACTCTCACTGTTTGGCCCATGAATTATTTGTAAGCTCAAAAGTATCACTTGACCTGACACACACTTCTCTTTCTCTGGCCTACCACTTAATTTTTATATATACTTTCACTAAAATCCCCATGAGCAAGACTGAAAAGACGCCCACGAGCAGGAGCCCACGCCGCAGCATCAACTGACTCCCAGTCAAGGTAGTGGTGCCCGTGGGCTGGACGCAAAGATGTTCTTCTCCGTGCATCGGCTGGTGCGTTGGCTGGCACACCTGCTGGCCCACCGGAGCCCTGACTTTTCTTCGAACATCTTGCATTAAAATACCTCCACGGTTCTCAGGGCCCACTGAAGGCAAAAAGGAACTCAGTTAGCAATATAAAAGGATATTTTTTTCCTTTGTATCAATGATCCCATACATGTGTGTCACTCACCAGGGGGAAAGTTTGTTCAGGAAGCAGTTGCTACCTTGGATCAATAAAAGAAATTCTGGGGCACCTGGGTGGTTCAGTGGTTGAGTGTCTGCCTTTGGCTCAGGTGGTGAACACGGGGTCCTGGCATCAAGGCCTACGTCGGGCTCCCTGCAGAGAGCCCGCTTTGCCCTCTGCCTATGTCTCTGCCTCTCTCACGAATAAATAAAATTTTGAAAAAAAAATCTATCTCAGAGTGCCTCTCCATTCGCTCATTCACAAACTGACCGGATCCTACTGTTGCCAGCATGGGTCTTCTGGAGAGCTCCATGACACCAAAAGAACCAGAGAAATACAGGGGTTCTGAGTTAAGGTTCGTAGGGTGAGTTTTCAAGGGGCCAATACTCATCTAATCAGCAGTTTGGAAGGTGAACTGACTCAGATGTACATCCAGTCTTACAACACTTCCCGAGGGAAAATGAAGGCTTAATGGAACAAGAATAAATAAGATGGGCATCCAACTTCTCAGTAAGCATTGTGGATATTAGGAATGTTACAATGCCCTTGGAGTTGTGAGAGGAAAGAATTTCACACAGTAATATTAGCTCACTCTTACAACATGTTTTCTCCTCAGCGGGGAGTCTGCTTCACTCTCCCCTTCGGCCCCTCCCCAGCTCCTAATCACTCTCTCTCAAATAAATAATCTTGGGGCACTGGGGTGGCTCAGTGGTTGAGCATCTGCCTTTGGCTCAGGTCATGATCCCAGAGTTCCAGGATCAGGATCGAGTCCCACATCGGGCTCCCTGCAGGGAGCCTGCTTCTCCCTCTGCCTCTGCCTCTCTCTCTCACACATGAATAAATAAATAAAATCTTTAAAAACAAATGTTTTTTTGAAAATGCACTTCACACATAAGCAGCTCACTTGATGCTCACAACAGTAGCATGAGGTAAGGAATTATCCCCCTGCTTTTACAAGTGGTAGATGGTAGAAAACTTGGACCAACCATCCTCTGAACACAATGATGAAAGCCGAGTAACATAAATGAAAAATACCATCTTGAAGGTGCCAGAGTGCTACCAATGTAAACTCCTCTGTATACTTCAGGCTGGAACTCAAGGGCTGCATCCAAGAATTAAGGATGAACCAAAAGTAAACCAGCCCTCACCCTGGTTGCCTCCAGGTCTGCTGGTGATCCAAGAAGCTCAAGTGCAGACATTGCCCTAGATTGCTGGTAACCCTAAGGGGTTGACAGAAGCAAAGGAAAATCCTCTCTGAAAACAGATACATCATTAGCCTCAAATTACTTCTCCAGACGATGTTCAAATACAAGATCTGGAACAAAGACAACCATGCAGGGATCCCTGGGTGGCGCAGCGGTTTGGCGCCTGCCTTTGGCCCAGGGCGCGATCCTGGAGACCCGGGATCGAGTCCCACATCGGGCTCCCGGTGCTTGGAGCCTGCTTCTCCCTCTGCCTGTGCCTCTGCTCTCTCTCTCTCTCTCCTCTCTCTCTCTCTCTCTCTCTGTGACTATCATAAAAAAAAAAAAAAAGACAACCATGCATATACACAGGGGACCAGACAAGATAAATGAGAACTAGCAGGAGGAACAAGAGAATTGGTGGCCAGCTGTAATTCAGTCAGCCTGTGAGCTCAAAGGGTTTTGGTTATAAAGAAGGGATGAATATGAGTAGGTCACTAACTGCTTGAGAAAGTGGGAATCTTGGTGGGGTGCTGGGGTCAGGATTGCTAATTGGGCAGAAGAAAAATGATACACACATTCTCATGATGCTTCCCAGAAGCAACAGTTAAAAACAATCTGGGGCACCTGGGTAGCTTAACAGTTGAGAGTCTGCCTTCAGCTCAGGGCATGATCCAGGGGTCCTGGGATCGAGTCCCACATCAGGCTCCCTGCAGGGAGCCCGTTTCTCCCTCTGCCTATGTCTCTGCCTCTCTCTGTGTCTCTCACGAATAAATAAAATCTTTTTTGTCGTTTAAAATCTAAAAAATAATAATCTGTGAAAAGCCCACCTGCATGCTTGCCTGGGGAGCAGGGGAACCCCATTAACACAAAAATACTGAAGTCAATTTCCAAGATTAAGGTCACCGCACAAGATCACCCAGCCTGTGGAATGCTTACACGAGTACCATAAATCAGCCAATGAACTGGCGACCTGCAATTGTCTATAATCATCAATAGTAGTCTATTAATATCTGGAATCCAAGCAAACAAACTTGCAATTCTGTTTATGTCACATTTGTGTTACTTTATCATTTGTTTCTGAAACTTTATTGTCTGAGTACTCCAGCA